TTGAAGGAGTGTTGCACGCGAAGCAATTCGATCTTCTCAACAGCATCGATGTCTCCTCAGATGGCAAGCCGGGCTTCAACACACTAACTAGCACTACCATGATCCTCTTATCTCATAATTGTACGACGCCAAATCAATGCCAAATCCTATTTCTTTAAAATGCCAAATACTATCTATTTTGGTACAAATTGATATATGCCAAGTTTGCAGATGCCTGCGTATGATTCTCCACACAATCGCTTTAGATGTGGAAAGCTGAAATTGCTTCTGGAACGATTCTTGTGCCTCGTCCAGATACGACAAAATTGTTTGTCTCAAAATACTCACGGAGCCACACGCGTCGGTCTTCTGAAAACTTATTGTCCGACTTCGATGTCATACATTGATACGTACCCGTTTCCTCAAACTCACGTATCCAGTTCCCAACAGTCTGCTGGGTTTTGGTGTAAATATGTGCTAGTTGCTATCTTAAATATCCAAGGTAAAAGCAATGAACACCGTGTTGGGATGAGTATGCTGTCTGGTGACCGCAACTTCCATTGTATAAGATAACTTAAAAGAATGATCCCTTTGAACTACTGTCGCCCTCGACCGATTGAGCTACAGAAATGCTCACGTGTGCAACTGGAGTTTCCAAAAATTGATGTCCTCAGCAGCTTTAAATGCCAACTGCAAGACGCTCGCCCGGGAGATTTTAAGCAAAAGACCCACACTGAACGACGAGCGGCCAATCTCTCCGAACGACCGTTTTTGTATACTGCCTTGATAATACAGTCGTGCACCTCCAATTCGGCACCGGTATCAGTCGATACCCTGCCAGATTTTATGATTACGCGAATCGGATGCGCAATTACCTTTGCCCATCACCACCCTAGCAATTAGCCTCAACGGTTTCCCCCTCCTCGCGGAGGGATGACACGCCGCATCGATCTGATTTTAAATTTTGGATCGGACGTCTTCATACAAACACACACTTTGATTTTTACCGCCAAAGACAATGGGACATCGCCCTTCCTCCTACAATCCCACAAAAGCAGTCTTTGTGCGAGAAGCACAAGTCAGATCCTGCATGCTCTCACTCCGAACTTGCTCGTTGGGCAACGGAGCGCTTTAACCCCTCCGTACCCAAGGTCATAAGATACGCCATAGAAATCGCTATAGCGTAAGTTACGACGTAGACCGTGCGTCAATAGAGAATGGCTCAGCCAATACTTTAACCAAGTTATATAAAAAAAAAGAAGATGCGAAAGGAAAGTAGGCAAAGCCAGAAACAGGGCGGGGTTAGGGTACGGGAAAGATATACGGTGCTCGTGGGAATGCGATACACGAATCTGAGAGAGTGGCCAGCGGTTCCAGTCATTCTAGAATTTGCTCCATGGCGCGCATACGCTCGAGCGCCCGCGGGGAAACTGATGCTCTTGCCGCTGCTGCTCGTGACATCGACTTCAGGCACCTATGGCGCCAGTTGCGTGCGGCTGGTTGGTCGGCCAAGAGGCCAAGTGGCATCCAGAAAGAGTGGAGTTATGTAAGTCCGGATGGTGCTGATTCTTTTGTTGGTGAGGACGCTGTGGTAGTTTTTGCAACATAATCTGGGCTATTGGAGGACATTAAAACCGGCACTGATGAGGCTAAGGACGACATCGCACACGCCACAGCACACCAAGACTGCTCAGACTCCACGGCGGAAGACGTTCGACCGTCGCAGATTGATACGGCGGCGGCCCTATCACAAAACACGTTGGATGCTCTCTTTGGTCCAGAAAACGATTCCGACCTCTCCCAAGCAGCAGTCGCCCGAGCCTTTGACGTTTCGCACAGTGAGTTGGAAGGTGCGGCATCTGGCCAAGAAGCAGCTACAAACCTACAGCTTCTGTCTGAGGTGTCGGGAGCTGAGAGCGACGGCAAAAGAAACGACGAAGTTGGACAAACATACTCCGACCACGTGCGAATCTGAATAAGGACGTCAATTTTGTTCCAGAGGACGAGACCCTAAGCGTGTACGAAAGTTTTAGCTCCGGCGAGGGTGAAGGTGACGAACTGTGTCATAATGAAGGCTGAGGTGGTGCAGAAGACAGCGAGGAAGATACCGTCGTTAGTGAAACCGACGCAGTGGCACTGGATGAGGCGTTCGTGGAGTCACTTCAGCTTGGTGCTGATGCGATGTCAAAGAGCGCAACACAACAGCGAGCTGATGCATTGCGTGGTATGACCTGGAGCCTGGCGTCTGGATCATTTAAGGAAGGTGTGACGTCGTACCCCGGACTAAACATGGAAGAAGCGCAGCCTGTCCGAGAGTTGAGAAGTCAGTGTCATTCACCGCTGTTGACCTTCTTCTACTTTCTCCCTAAGTCGCTATGGGTTACAATCAATGTCGAAACAAATCGCTATTGCCAACAACGCATCAACGAACGAGCTCAAGCGCAGTTCGAGCAGCAAGGCCCACGACCACGAGAGACATTCACACAAATTCGACGTAGGTTGCAAGAAAAACCTGGATACCAGACACACGAGATCTTGCAAGTCATCGGCCTTCTAATTGCGCGTATGCTGTGTCCCCAAAACCGGCGTTTTGCTTCTCATTGGGCGATGACTGAAGATGGTGCGGTTCCTGCCGGCACCTTCGGCCGGTTCATGGCGCGAAATCGCTGCCAGGACATATTGCGCGACCTGCACTTTGTTGACAATGAGTCAGATCATGGACGAGATAAACTGTGGAAGCTTCGACCAGTTGTGGACAAGCTGCAGCAGAGATTCCTTGATGGCTGGTCTCTTCCTGCGGTGTTTTCCTTTGACGAAGGCGTCCTACCGTCCACATCCAAGAGAAACACCACGAGAATGTTTATGCCGAATAAGCCACATAGATATGGATCTAAAATGTTTATGCTGTGTGATTCCCGAAGTGCCTACTGCCATAGGTTCGCTACAGGTTTTTTCAATGTCGTATGTTACGGTTTGGACATCACCTCTAACTATGTTTGTCGTAACTTACAGGTTTGAGATATACGCTGGAAAACGAAACGCTAAAGACGGTGGTGACAGATCATTCGATCACAAGACGGGCGCCGCAGCAGTCGTCCGGAATCTACAGGTTGTTCTTGATGCGAAACCGCGGCACTTATGGCACTTAGTAGTCGTGGACCGATTCTATTCCTCGATTCTTCTCGCTATCGAGTTGCTGGGGATGAGTATTTACGTTGTTGGCACGATCATGTCGGACAGGCTGGGATTTGATAAAGCAGTCAAGAAGCCACGAAAGACACGCCCAGCAGCAATTCCTCGTGGCAGCTTTCTGTTTTCCCGTTCAATTGCGGTCCCTACCATGGTGGCATTCCACTGGTGGGACCGCAAGCCGGTCCATTTCTTGTGTACGGGGTCTGCTATGACGATGTCATCAATCCAGAGAAACGTGAAGCGCGTAGGTGCTGAAACGGCTCCGTGTCCGGTCGCGATAAACGATTACCAGCGCTGGATGGGCGGGGTTGACGTTCACGATCAACTCCGCCTCCAGAAGTACTCTCTGCAAACGTCGACACGATTTACCAAGTACTACAAGCGTCTCTTTTTGGGCTTTGTGGACTTAGCCCTGGTAAACGCCTATATCTCCCACAAGGAAACAGCAAGGCTCGCTGGAACGACTGCGATGGAGCGTGGGGATTGGTTTTGTGTGCTGCAGAACCAACTCTTGCAGTTAAAGGCCGAAGATTTCGCTAATGTTGTTGTAACGCCTCTCCCAAACTCGCAGAAGCGAAGACGCGAGCCTATTCGTCTCACACACCTGGTTGATCAGTCCGAAGACTGGGTAACGGTCAGCGGCGTACAAAAGCGCCGGCAACGGTCGTGTAAGGTGTGCGCTTTGCTCCGAACGAGCACAAAGAAAAAATCTTTTGCTACAACCTTCTACTGCCAGCGGTGCTCGGTTGACGATGCCAAATGTTGGCTCTGCAACAAGATACGCCACAGATACAAAGGTGAGTTGAAGACCTGTTTTGCTATTTGGCATGATGACTTCGATTGCGGCCAAGCGATTCCGGCCGCGCTGGGCAAAAAGGTTGTTCTCCGGCGTCCTGGTCAGAAACCTGGCGAGCGAAAGAAGACGCGTCGAGAACTGCAGCTGCACAACGGAGACGCCGATGACGAGGGAGAGAATCAGGAGTGAGCATGGTCTGCGCACAATGAAGATGAGTGTGCGGGCGTACCTTTGATGAGTGTAGGCTGTTGATAAATCGTAATGTCTCCTTTTTGTTACTGTTGTCGTTGCTGCTTGGTCTATTCCCGAGTAATGTGCCACTTTTTCCGCCCATCTTTTAGCCGTCTAGTGTAACTGATGACGTTGAGCTAATGAAAATTGCTGGTTATGTTGTATAACTTACGACATTGAAAAAAAAACCTGCTGAGAACTTATCGAGCTTCCCGCAGGCGGTTATGTACGCCATACAGAAGTGAAGTAAATAAATACGTCGTATAATACGACATACAATTACCGTGATTAGTGTGTTTGAGGTCCTGAAATCTGGGAACGGAGGGGTTAAGACCCCCCAAGCAGTAAAGCGCACTACCGTCCAGTGTATTCTTATGCGGTCGGCGGAAGTTGCCGCCTTGCCGGACGCGTATCGCAACCGGAAGCGCTGTTGCGCGCCTTCGATTCGCGCGTCTGACGCCAAGATTTTGCAAATTTGAGCTGAATTAACAAAACAAATATCAGTGCACTAGATTTGCGTCTGGTTTTTGCTTAACGTTGTGCACTTATGCCCTGGCACTGTTGATATGGTCCGCCCTGCCGAATTGGGGTGCACGAACTGTACAGACCGTAAACAACATTTTAGGTCACAATAATGGTATGAGTCATACCGGTACATTCACATCGTATGACAAAATTTGCGAAACTTATACTTGTAAATACGAGTACGTGAGTTCATGGATAGCGTTCACGCTTCTTTTGTTGCTATCGTGCGGATATGTTCAGTGAGCATTAACACTGTCACGCTTCTTTTGTTGCCGTCATGGAGCGGCAGATGGGTACGTTGAAGCCAGTGGTCTGAAACATGAGCTACAGTTCCAGAGTCAACCCACGGCCCTTTCATCAGATTTGGCTACCGGTATACACACCATGTGCGGTACAGAATGAGTCAAAGTATAGTGTCCCATAACGTAAAGGCTCGCAGTGTTTACTCCTTCTGACACATTTATACACATGTCTTTATTTTAATAAAATGTATTGCTTGCACTATAGATAAATATGTTCTTAGTACATGTACAGCATGAAGAAAATTTACGATCGCGTACCGCGACTTGGACCCGTACAGGCTGTACATGTACTACAGGATACGTAACCGAAGTCGCAGATTGCGATACGCTTACCGTACACAGTACATATCGGTAATACTGTACATGAACCGACTCAAGTTGAGCTTCGTCCGGTTGCAAGAAGGCAGCCGGATTAGTTGCTGCGATGGGGCAACCCAGTTCGTTCAGCAAAAAAGCTGTGATTTTGGGTGTGGCTCTCATTTCCCTCCATTCCTTATTTTTCCGCGCCGTCCTCAGGATCACGAAGTGGCCACGCGATGGAATCCCAGCGCTTGGTCAGAGCTGGTACGCCCACCCTGCGTCGCCTTCCGTCCCCTCCTGATGTCGACGACGAACTTGATCACGATCTCAGCGATACCCCGAAGAAGTCGACAACGCGACGGAGGAGATTTCCCACAGAGCTGGTTCAGATCGCTGACGTGATCGCTCTCCCGTGGTTTGGATGGTTTTTCGTCTACGCCTTCACACTCTTCTGCTTCTCCGTGAGTCGAGGCGTCGTCCTCAAGTCACTAGCGACGATGTACGGCAGTCCTCGAGACTATACCGCAAGTTTCAAGGCTGCCGCACTGGGTCTTGGCACCTTGGAGGACTTCGTCTGCACGACCTACTTAGCGTGTGCGCTGTGGCTGTTCGACACCTTAAAACTCACGGCCATCGAGCGCTTCAGCTCTCAAGTCCACGCGTTGGTCGTGCGAGTCGTCGGGAACATCGCAACGTTCACAGTGTCGTGGATCCTCTTCGTCCTTGTGGTGGCACCGTTTGCAGCCGACATGCTGCTGGTGCTCAACCGCGATATGCGATTCACGCTGGACCTCGTGGCCACTCTAATCCGAGAAAGACACCATCTCGGCCACGCCCCGATATCGAGCGAGGAGTTCCAGCGAGCCTACACAGTGGGAGGTCTGCTGGTCACTGCGGCGACGGTTTTTGCGCTGATCCGGACCTGGGCTGGCTGGGCCGACTTGACTCTCTGGAACCCGACACACATGGTAGTACTCTCTGGGGAGCGCGCGGTAACAGGGAAGGTCTTCAAACGTGCAAAATACAAAGAGCTCGCTCTAGAAGAAGGTCAAGAAGGCGCCACTGTGCAAGAGGAGCAGTTGTCTTCTGTGACCGACAGCCAACCGTACGGAAAAGTCCTTTTCAACCGTGTGATCCAGGCCACTGCACTTCTAGTTGCTCTCGTCGTTGCGCCAATGATTGTGGTGGCTGTGCGTTGCGCCAGCTCACCGCTGGTGGCGTACTCGGCGTTGAACGCGACTCTGAACGAGCTTTTCGGCCACGCTTTACAGCCGGGAGCCACCGAGTCGACGTTCTCGAATGATAGCGACCTGCCTTGGATGGAGATGTACATCCACCCGACAGAGAGACACAAACTGTACGGCAACGACTCGCTGTACCGCCGCACCACGGGGTTCCGCGGAGACCTCGCTTTCGACGTCGACATCTCGAAGGACAATCCGCCCAACGTCCTCGTTCTGGGCGTCGAGTCTTTCCGCTTCCGGGATTCACGGTACTTTGTCGGAGAGAACGACCCGTCCAACGTGTTCAAGGGCACGCAACTCACTGTTACGCCGAACTTCGACAGGTGGGCGAAGCGTGGCGTGGCTATCCGCAATCTCTGGACGAGCAACCCGACTAGTCGATCTCTAGAGAGCGCGTTATTCGCCCAGATCCCGTACGACAGCGCCGTGAAGACTGGAATCACTGGCGGCAGGGAGGACACAGAGCTGTCTGGCGTGCCGCAGCTCTTCTTGTCCAAGGGATACGAGACCTACTTCACTACTGGCTCTTCTATCGACCTCGACAACTGGAACGTCTTCCTCCCTTCACACGGCTACGAGACTGTGTGGGACAACAACAAGATCAAGGAGCTGGCGGAAAACCATCTGAATATTTCCCACGAAGACTGGAATGGCGTCGCCCGCCGAGGCTTCCAATGGGGCGCCCATGACGACGTGAGTTTCCAGATTCTCGGAGATCTACTCGTCAACAAGACACGCAACCAAACGGAGCAGGTGTGGAACGGGAAAAAGAAGACGCCGCTGTTTATCACGCACTACACGATCACCAGTCACTCCCCTTACAACTCTGTACCAAAGTGGTACAATGACTCGAAGAAACCAGACTTCTCGGCTCTCTACGAAGGAGAAAAACACGCCAGTCTGATCAAACCGTACCTCGAAGCTCGATACTTCACCGACGTGGAGCTAGGAAAGTTCTTGGACCGCATGGATCAAGAGGGTGTTCTAGACAATACCATTGTAGTAATCTACGGCGATCACGGACAGGCTCCTGAAGGTGACATCATCTACACCGAAGAAGAGTCCCTGACGCGAGTGCCGTGCCTCATTCTAGCAGAAGGGCGACTAGGAAAATATGCGGGACTCAAGCTGGAAGACGCCGCGGAGCACTACGACATTCTCAACACTCTAGCAGATATCACAGGGCTTCCTGAAGGAGGGTTCGTTCAAAATGGCGTCGGCCGCTCACTCAAGCGTAAGGTCACGTTCGGCGAGCGTGCGGTCTTCAGCAATGTCCCTGGCCACAAGATGTCCGTAGTGCGTGGTCACTACCGTCTGCGCTACGACGGTATCACTGACGCAATGTTCCTGCACAACACCGAGACGGACCATTGGATGAACGAGGATTTACTCCCGGAGCTCCCACCTGAAAAGCTGGCCGAATGGGAGACCTGGCGCGATAATGGACGTCGGATCTCCGCGTACTATACAAAGCGGTGGGACGAAAACTGCTTGCTTGCTGTCAATTGCACTGCAGAACATTATGAAGAACACCCGTAGACGATGACATGAAAATATATAGTTTCCTTCCCTTTGAGACGCCTGCAGCAGTGTATTAGGACACTCAGCATCAGCTCGCGATCCACAAATCTGTCGAACTTTACATTATCAAGTTCCCTAGACCAGCGCATCGGGGTCTTCCTCGCAGAAGACGGCATAGATCTTCTTCGACAGAGCTCGTTGAACTCGAGCATCGTGCAGTTTATCAGCGACGAGATCCTCTTTCTGCGCGCGTGACAGTCTCGGGTCACGATACGCACGCATGAGGCAGTCAAAAGTAGGGAAATGGTCTAACAGACACTGCGCTTTGTCCTCACTCACCCCCGGAATTACTTGCAGCATACGAAGCCACGCGTTGGCGCTTGCACTAGCTGTCCCTCCGCTATGCGTCACCCGAAACGAGTTGTAGCGAGGCACAGATTCTAGAAATTCCTCGAGCGCAGTCGCACGTGACGATGCAACAACCAGCTCGCGAGTCAACAAAGCCACATAGTTCGCCGTAGCTTCGAGATCACACGTGAACTTTGTGTGAGCTCCGACATCCATGAACAACTGGAAGGCGATTTCTTGCAAGTCTGCAAACGAAATCATCGGCAGCGTGCGGTTTGCGGCAGTTCCGTTCTTTTTCTTCTTCCTTTGCTGTTTTTTGAGCTCGATGAGGGCTCGATCCATGCCTTCGATGACCACAAAGAACTTGCTCGGCTCTTCCAGCTCTTGCTGACGAGATTTCTTCTTACTCATGGGTATCAACGTCTGTAGATACCGCACAGCAGCCACTAACTCTTTGTAGCTTTTCTTCTGCAGCATCTCCAAATACGCTGAAGCTTCGTAATAAAGGGCACAAGAGAAATGCGAGCCACTGCTATCCTTCCGCTCCCATCGAATCACTCCAGACATGATGCAATTCAGTGCACTTGACACCGAGTACGACACTGGTTTGCCGTTATAAATGTGATTCTTTAGCGCTTCACGGATCTTGGTCCCCGCTGGCGACGCGTCCAGCGACGCCTCCATCTGCACCACCGCAACTACCGCAGTAGCTGCAGAGTCATTGCCCGATGAACGCTTGGGTCTCGATCGAGACGGTGACAAGTCAGTCCTAGGCTTCGCAGGCGACTCGGTCGTCCTAGTATTTGTATTATTCACGATTGCAGTCGTCTCTTTCCTTTTCTTCTGTGCACTTCCACAAGTTCTTGTTGTTTCGGAATGAAGGTCTTTCAACCGGCCTGACAGCCTTCTGGCCTGCTTGGGTGCTGCTCTATTTCCTTCGTCTGAAAACACTTGTCTTCTTACACTTGGCAGCTCTGGAGACAGAATTTCCGGCTCATCGTCGGAACTAGCAGCCGCTGCTATGAGATTTGACGTTGCAGGTACAGAGGGAAGAGAGTACACGAAAGGCGGCGGAGAGGCGGAGGGGGAATACGAAAAGGAAACCTCATCTTCTCGCTCAGTGGCAGCGGGAGCTGTACTAGTGTAGCCATTTGAGGCAGACGGGTTTGGTGACGACGGCGATGTGGTCAAATCCACAACGGAAGAGAGAGCACCAGTCTCCTGCTGCTTCTTCTTCTTGGCTGGGGGAGATGGTGTGGTCAGCTCGATTATTTCGACCGACGCGGAGGCGATTTCACATCTATTGGAAACTGCACAGTTGATGCCAGAGCCGCTACGCGGGATACCTAACTCTACAAGCATCGCGTCTAGCGCGCGGTCTTCATCCTCGTCTTCGAGTGAGTCGCGTGGCCTCGGACGGTGGCGCTTCCTGGCTGGAGTGCTCGCCATGTCTTGGCTAACTGTGTTATTAAAAAACACAGCTCAATTTAAAAAAAATGATATTTTGTTCTTAAAGTGTGAGCTGTCTTGAATTTTGAACTAGCCGGATGTAATTTTGTAGATGAATGTTTATTTTATTCTAAAAGAATAATTATAACTAAAATTGCAATTTCACAAAGCAAGAAAAAACCAGTTACCAACTTCTGCATGCATTTTTCGCTGTATCTTGGCAACCATGAATCGATAATCCGCACATTGACATGTAGAGAATCGAGCTCACAGGCGTAAACACTCAGCCAATCTCTATATTACGCCGCCAATCATCGTTCTTACCAGAACACGGAGCAAATTTAGCGACCGCCCAACCCTAATCTTTAATAAAATTTTGCATGGTCGCAAGATAGGTACATTGCCATTTGGCGACTTTACTTCCTGTTGACACGATGCTTGCTGCACCCTTCACCCCTCTTCCACTTATACCGCCTTCTCCTCACTCAGCAAAAACTATCATGACCCCTAACCGACGTCAGCACTCCCACGACATGCGCTGTTTGTGCGTTAGTAAGTAAGAAAAGGCTACAGCTACTAAGATTAGCGCTGAGGTGCGGTTGCCGCAAACCACCGTGCGCGACATCATCACCTACATCAAAAAGAATGGGCACTGCGCTGTCAAGCCTCGCCAAGGCCAGCCTCGTCCCACTGCTGTTTGTGCGCGATGAATACCAAGACGACCAAGATCGGTATGAAGCAGAGCTTACAAGTTGCGTGAATGGGGCCACGACCGTCAACAAAATGCACGCTGCTATTCGTGCACGACGTAAACAAAAGAAAATACTTTCTTCCGCAAGTGTACCTCGTCAATTGTCATCTACTCTGTACATGTCATCCGTAATGGTACTCTGTAACTGGACATTTCCATAACATAAACTTCGACCTCCGACAATCTCCGAAAGGGGGCACGTTTGGGTCAGTTACGCCTTAAACAAATATATCGAGTTTCCATTTTATAATGTGGGCCCCATGGAAACCGTTTACACAGACAAAAGCAGAGCGGGGGCGGGAGCGAAGGAGTTTGTGGTGGCGGTAGGTAGGGGCGGCGGCAGGTCGGTGTAGAGAAGTGCACAGCAGGTGATGGCAGGGTGGCACAGATGCCGGGGTAGGGTGGTGCACAGGAGGCAGCGAGATGGTGGTGGTGAGCTGAGGTGGTGGTGGTGAGCAGGTGGCGGCGGTATACAGGTGATAGGGAGTTGATGGTGTTGAGTTGGTTGCAGTGAGCTGGTAGCGTGCGGTGTAAATGCGTCGCCGAGCTGGTGGCGGGTGCGATAGGGTATCCTGCGTGCGTGCGTGCCGTTGCAATCATTTTCGGTGGTAGGATGCTAGGGGTGGCATGCGGTCGACGAGCGAGTAGGAGCTGCGTAGCGCGTAGCAGGATGCTGGCAAGCGTGTCAAGTCGATGACGGGTTGGCATGGCTGGGAGCGCTCCGAGTATTAATAACGCAATACATGTACATTTAATTGACACATGTTATCTAATGATCTATGTAGTACAAAATTAAAATATCTTCACGCAGCACTGCGGCGCTGCTGCCGGTTGTCGAAACTATTTTACCTCTTCTTAAGTTCGGTAGCAGAGAAAACGTTCCTAAAACTGATCTATACTGATCTAATTGTCCTAAATTAAAATACCTGATCTTAGAGAATTTGTTCTAATAAACATTTAAATTAGTAAATCCACCACCAATTATCCAACGCCATTCAAATTAGTTTTGGACAAAAGCTCCAAGCCGTTCCAATCAACAATGGAGTACAAAGCCGGACAAATAATTCTTTAGAGCGCTACAATCGTGCGTTCGGGGAATTGTTCTCGGTTATACATCCAAGTCTACTTGCTTTCGTTGAAACAGCGAAGGCAGATGCGCGACGCTACGTCCAAATGATGGACGACATCAAGCATCATCGTCGCGATCCGCCTAAACATGCAGGCTTTGTGGAGCCGCGTGTGCCAGCTGATTACCTGCACTTCGAGTAGCCAACTTAGTCGCACAGTCAGTAATCTAATCTGATAATGATTCCCGTGGTGTCAAGATTGGCGTAACACGTGTTGCCCTAAACGCGAATTTTTCTAATATCAACACGACTATTCTTACAGGTACAAGTAGTATTATTTCATCGGATTTGCTACTAGCAAGTTGTCCTAATTGGTAGCCTAATTACTGCAGCGTATCCGTGGTATACTGAAATATCTTCCAGTATTTTTAGGGCAATTAGAGTTATTTTAGAGCACGCGTTAGATGTGTTTTTACCAGCACCTCAAATTCTACTACTGCAGTATTTATCAATAGAGACGTATCACATTGCACTGTATCGTCACTTTATCGCGAGCAACACTAGTATGAAGATAATGTGCAGCGTTACTTTATTTACATTTTCGCAAATATTTACTCCTTATTCAATGTAGGCGATTCACATCCTTCTCATTCCCCAAGAAAGCCCCGTGGTCTCACATGAGAACGCCGTGATCCTTCTCCTACTCAGCCTGAGCGCCCTATCGTACCTGATGTGCGGTTCTATTAAATTCCTTACATCACTGAATGATGCAGACAGCGATCTGTTGTTTCGCTTTTCGGTAGAAGGCGTGCAGTCGCTAAACCGCTGTTTCGCTCTGCCGGAACACGTCGTCACTGGAGATCGTGACAAAGTGCATTTCACAGAAACTGTGTGTATCATTTGAGCTACCCAAAGAGGTTGTACGACATGATGAAGCTTTTCGGTCGGCTCACAGGGCAACTCAGTCGTATCATTCGGCATATGAGTAAAAATGATTTATTGATTTTACTGCTTTAGCGTTAATTATATTGCTAACTGCTGTAAAGTGCTGTACTTGTACGATAGATATGAAGCTATCATTAATTTTCACCGCCGTGTGTGCGCCGAGCGCATTTAGCGCTATGCTGAAGCTGTCCGCAGTAAAGGTGCGCCGATGGAGACTGTGTTCGGGCTCATTGACGGCACTAAAAATACCGTGTGCCGACCGTCTTCTAGACCAGGATCTAACGAAAACCTGCAAAGGCAGGTTTATTCTGGACACAAGAGAGTGCATTGCTTAAACTACCAGGCAGTAGTTACCCGGATGGATTGGCTATTCAATTTTGGGGTCCCATCGAAGGTCGGAGACACGACATAACGTTGCTGCACGAAAGCAAACTTGTCAAATATTTAAAGGCAAACAGAGCAATTTTTGATGGCTACACTATATTTGGCGATCCCGCGTACGGGTTAATGTCTCTGGTTCAAGAAGGCGGCATTGTCAAGCAATGAGCAACGATTCAACTCAAGAACGAGTTCTGTTCGCGAGGCGGTTGAGTGGAAGTTCAAGGAGCTCAAAACACTTTGGGCGTTTATTGATTTTAAGAAATCTCTTCGAGTTCGGCTTAACCCGGTTGGTAAGTACGTTACTATTAGTATATTGCTGTCAAACTGTCAGGGCTGCAGCTATAGATGCAACCAAATTAGCTCATATCTTGATTTAACACCACCTACCCTAGCATCATATCTGCAGGATTAGCAAGCGCAGTAGTAATTAAACTACTTTGGGTTTGGGGCATTGACAATTGCCAATATGCTTTCTGTTACAGCACTGACAAGCTTCAACATATACTCAGCTCCTTCTTGACGGATACGTGAAGCCTCTATTTTTTTCCTCTTCACGCTCTTGGGCGCGCTGCAACGCCAACTCCCCTCGCTCGGCCTTCTTGTCCGCAATCTCTTTCTCTTTCAGGCTAATTAGCAGCCTCTTTAGTTCCGCTTCTCTGCGTCGTTTTGGTGGGATACTATCCTCTTAGCTCTCTACCAATGTTTTCATGGCCAAACGCTGTGCAACCAGCGACGCTTCTTCACGGTGACGTTTCAGACCCTCTGTCGCCTTTGCGGCTGCTGTGCGAGCAACATGGTCATTGATCAGAGCAATAAGCTCGTCTAGCAGAACCACCTTCTCGTTCTCCTCCTCCGAAACACCGGACACAGTTGCAGCCTCTGCATCATGCTCGCTATGGGCCTTAGGCCCTTGTTCAGGTTGAGAACGCGTTCCTGGTTGAGAATAGATTAGGGTTAAAACAAGCTTGACTGGATGGGAGCCAACAGCTCGGCACGGTGTGCCACGAGCTGTCCAAGTCCAAACTTCAGTTAGCCTCGTCTGACTGGTCACAAGCAGTGTTCATCCGATGCCACCAGACCTGCCAGCCCAC